TCCTAAGAATCAAACGATTCGAAGAAGAATAAGCGTTAGAGATTACGAACGAGTAGAAACTGGACACCGAGATTCTTGAAATCCTCGATGGTGGTTGATCGCGAAGGGCTAGTGAGCGTCGAGTTTCGAACGAGAACAAGTGTTGGGTGACCAGATCTCGCGCTAGCTTCCACTATATATTTCCCGAGGTAACCGGTTCCTCCGATGATCAGAATCTTACTCTTATTCGCCATTTTTCTTGTCTGATTGAAACTCTCTGCCGGAATTTTTGCTTCTCTCATAAATTATGTAGTTTGAACCACTCATCCGATCGGATCGGATAAGAGGCTTTTTGAAATGACAATAATACCCCCAAAGTTAACATCACTAGAGCTACTTTTTTAGTCAAAATTTACATGCAATTGTTCGTTCTGTTTGGTTGGTGAATTTTTTTCTTGGTAACGTTTTGGAATTGAGTGGACTGTTGTTGGTTTGTGTGGCAGACATATGGTGGACGGAGCAGCAGCAGCAGTGGTGGCTCGCGTGCGGACTGATCTGACCACTTTCCTCTTTTGTCTTTGCAAAAATGAAAAAAAATTGTTTAGAGAATCATTGTGGTCTATTTTTACATTGACCAAACTACTTATGCAGCTACAAGGGAAGAATTAGAGTAAAAAACAGGTTGGAAATTAAATTTGTTTTTAGCTCGGAGCAAAATTGTTGGTGTTAGTTAATCCATGAATTGCAGTAGTACCTCGGAGCAAAATTGTTCGTTGCTTTTATGTCTTTTGAATTCTACTAATTTGGCCTAAACCGGATTATTCCTTCAGTTATTATCGGCAGCTTCTAAAATTCGTAAAAATTGGGCCGTGCAATAGCCCATGGAACTAAACTCGCAAGACCATACAAATACATGCAAGAAAATTAAGGACCAGCAAGATTTATAACACAGTTATCAAACCCAAGCCGTACAGTATATTCAAAATCAGTCCATCAAAAAACCACCAGTTCGGTTTGATTAATTATTATACCGGAGAAACATACAGGTTAATTTATAAAACCCAAAATTAAAAACTATTTAGAGAACTAAAAGGATTTTAATACCTTCATGGACTCTTTAGTTAAGCTATAAAGCTTTTAGACGTACTGGTCGAGGAATTGATCAACAGTAGTGTATTTGACATCAGGGTAAAGCTCAGAAGCTTCTACTCCAAACGAAGGTTCGATTTCGAAGCTTGTGTGTCCTCCTTTCACGAATACGCAATGACAAAGTGATAGCAACACGTTGATTGGTGGCGAAGCTTCTGCGAAAAAGTTGAATAAAAACACTAAACCCCATCAGTGGACATAGATAAATAACATTG